CCTGGCCAAAGTGCTCAAGCAGGCAACCGTGTACCAGAACGAGGAGATTGTGGTGATCAACAAACCCTACGGCCTTCCCGTGCACGGTGAGGGAAAAGCCGGCTGTGCTGCCTCTGCACTGATGCCTTAGAGGGAGAAATGGAAACGGTTCCATGGCACTGATAGAGGATCCTCTGTCTCCATCCTTCCTGTGCTGAGGTTTTCCTTCCCAGGGAGGGGTGCAGGGAGTTTGTCACCTTTAGATCACCGCAGCCTTCGTCTCATGTTTTGGAGCTGATTTAAGGTATGCGGGGAGATGACCGCCTCCCCTGATTGCCTTGCCTGTGGGTTATGCAGGTGGCCCTGGGATCAAGAACTGTATCGCTGACGTGCTGCCGATTTTGGCCAAGATGTTGGAGAACATGAAAGCAGAACCCCTCCACCTCTGTCACCGGCTGGACAAAGAGACCACGGGTGTGATGGTGCTGGCGCGGAGCAAGGAGGCGGCAGAGAAGATCCGGTTTCTCTTCAAAACTCGTCAGGTGGAGAAGGTCTACTGGTAGGAAAGGCTTGAGTGGAAAGGCTAGGAAAGCCTTCAAATGGCTTTGAAGGGCCTGTAGGGTTTGAAGAGGGGTGAAGGGACATGGTGTGGGGACGTGGGGCCTTGTGGAAGTGGTTGCTTGTATTTGCTGAAGCGTCTTTTGACAGGGCTGGGTCATGGGGAGAGAGGATGAGGGGAGGGTTCCCTTCCCTCTGGAGGGACCTCTGGTTTCCTTCCCCAGGGCAATTAGCCTAGGGGACCCAGACCCTGCTGAGGGCATCGTGGACATCCCCATCGTGGAGAAGGAGGTGCGGAGCCACCAGTCGCACTACAAGGTGAGCGGGACGTCCTCTCAGCCATCGTTCCGGCCTTGCGCTGCCCCCCCTCCTGCTCTTCCCCCCGCCTCACCCTCTCATCACCGTTCAGATGACGCTGGCCCCCAACTATCGCCTGTCTCCAGAGGACGGGAAGGTGGTGAAAATCCGCAAGAACCGCAGCGCGGAAAGCGCCGTGACGCGGTACCGCCTTCTGGCTAGCTCTTCCGCCTGCTCTCTGCTGGAGCTCCAGCCCATCACAGGTGAGGCCTGGCTGGGTGTCCCTGGGCTTGCTGGATCCGTTTTCCCTGCAGCTTAGCAGCCAAGATCAGCTCTGGAAGCAGGAACTCGTCGTTACAGACGACTGAAATCCTTTTTGGGCTGAGGCTCTGGGAATAAGCCACCCTGGGGGCAATGGTTTTTTGGTTGCGGGGCCGCCCTCCGGCTGCCGGTGATTTGGTTGCAGGATTATCCAATGCTGAGGGTGGCAGATGGGAGCCGAGGCCTGGCATGGCTGGTTGTCACTTTTCTCTTCTTTCCCTTCCCTCCTCAGGGGTGAAGCACCAGCTCCGGGTTCACCTGGCCTATGGGTTGGGGTGCCCCATCCTGGGGGATCACAAATATTCACACTGGAGCAAGCTGGCGCCCCAGGTAAGGCGGGTCCTGTGGCGGGGGGGAGCCAGATCCAGGGCCGGGCAGCCCCTTTGTCCCCCAGCTGCCCCTTGGGCCAGGGTTTTCAAGTCCCCATGGAAAAGACGGGGTTGTGGAAGGGACGTTTTCTGTCCTCGCTGCAGAAGCTGCCTGAGGTCACCCTGAAGAGGCTGAAGCTGGAGCAGAGCAAGGCTCGCCACCTCCCCCTCCACCTCCATGCCTACCGCCTCTCCCTGCCCCTGGGTGAGCGGGTAGACCTCGTCTGCAAGCCACCCCTCTTCTTCCAAAAGACTCTGAAGAAGCTGGAGCTGGATGTTGCCAATGACTGATGAGGCAGGATGAGAGCGGTGCCGTCTATCTCCGCGTCTCCAGCACGTGGGAGCACCAGGGCTGGCCGCTCCGCGGCGGTGTCCGTCCGGGAGTCAGCGGTGTGATGAACTCTGCGCTCTCTGCCTCTTGCCAGAGACCGCCCGTGTCGGTACTGGTGTTGCTGGCGCCAAACCAGGTACCCGCGTGTGCTTCTTGCCCTGATTTGGTGCAGAGACATGGCTGGGGGCACCGCGCCAAACCAGGTACCCACGTGTGCTTCTTGCCCTGATTTGGCGCAGAGACACGGCTGGGGGCACCGAAGAGCCTCCTGTTCGGACAGACAGGGCTGGGTGGAAGCTGGGCTTTGCCCAGTCCGTGTTTGGAACTTGTCCCTGAGCAATAAACGATCCGGCTCCTGCCGAGGTGAAGGGTTGTGTGTCTCTCTCCGCTCTGGCCGGGAGAGGTACCCACGTGTGCTTCTTGCCCTGATTTGGCGCAGAGACACGGCTGGGGGCACCGAAGAGCCTCCTGTTCGGACAGACAGGGCTGGGTGGAAGCTGGGCTTTGCCCAGTCCGTGTTTGGAACTTGTCCCTGAGCAATAAACGATCCGGCTCCTGCCGAGGTGAAGGGTTGTGTGTCTCTCTCCGCTCTGGCCGGGAGGATCTCGGTCCCTGGGTGGGTTTGAGCACACCTGGGTGCAGTCCCTCCCGGATTGAGGCCCGGAGCTGTTCAGCAGTCTCTCCCTCCTACCCTGGCACTCCGCGCTCCAACTGGGAGACTCCCTCCATTGGAAAATCCATCGAAAGTGCAGTTTGGCAGCGGCCGTGGGGTTTTTTTGCTGTGCTGAGAGACGGCGCGGGGAGTTCCTCCGCTCGGCTGAGCAGCTCCGGGACTCCCTCCGCTCTGCGTGCTGCCAGCAGTGTTGGCACGGGTTTCTGGGCACAGACCGCGCTGCTGGGAGCAACTTTTATCCCACCACTCCATCCAGTTTCCCCATTGCTTGTTTCTAGATCCCGTTACCGGGATCCCTCTCCCTCAGGAGCTTGCCTTGGAGCCAGGTTCCCTTCCCTGTACCCTGAGAGGGAGGCGAGTGGGAAAAACTGGGGAAGAGTAGCCGATGTCCTGCCTCAAAATCACAGCC